GGAGAGCCTCGGCCCCCTCCATTGGCAACTGTCGCCGTAGTGTATTTGTGCACTGGTGGGAGAGGGCGACTCAAGCGGCCCCTACGATGGCAGCCGCAAGGGGTGTGAGGTTCTGCCAAGGGTTCGGCGGCAAATCATGGGAGCCTGGTATACCCTCTTGATCCCGTCTTCAGCGTCGACGAGTGTCGGTAAGCGCTTGGGAGTCGATGAGATAGCGGCGATTTAGCGTGGCTAGCGTCGATAGAGTCGATGTAGCGTCGATGTGCATCAATTGAGCGTCGATTTAGCGTCGACTGGCGTCGATTCGCAAGAGGAGACACGATGGTATGAGAGGCTCCCATGAGTTTCCACCGAGCAGTGGGGCGGAAAATGTGCACAGGCAAAATTGAACCTAGATTTCCAATGCGCCCATCGGTGGTTGAAGTAGGTATTTCTGGATTCCCACATTCCAGTCTACTTTAGGCGCCTTCCTACTACAATGATCAGTGGCTTCAGCTTCTCCGTCCTCTTTTGGGGGCGGGCGGGAACCCAATCTACTGTCAACGCCTTCCCACTTCATGTTTCCACCTACTTCTTCCGACGGGTGGGCAATGTAGGAACCTATGGGAAATGGAGGGGGGGGGGGCGAACATGCAGGACCTTTCGGAACCTGGAATGTATGTGTGTTCATTTATAACGTGTGTTCATTTGTTTGTGTCTCCCTGGGCTCCTTTAGCCCAGAGCTTATAGGCCTCCCAGATGGGGTCGGAGTAGGTGGGGTCGGAGGATCGCGCCGAATCGTCGATGCATCGCCGATGCGGCTTGATGTGGGCCCCGATTTTCTCCGCGCTGGCGTCGCCGACGCGCCGCCGACGTCGCAGGTGCATCGTCAATGCATCGGCGATGCATCGCCGAGGCGATGCGGTACGATCCTCCGACCCCATCTACTCGAACCCCATCTGGGAGACCTCGAGACGTCTGAGTCGCTGAAACAAATAGAGCGGCTGTTATTTCCCCCAACAGCTTGCTGAACGGGGTGTTATTGTGATAGAGGCTAACTCCAGCCGAGGGAATTCAAAGCAGAGACGTCCTCAAAAAAATGTGGTGGTCCGGGCCGTTTCACCTGAGACATCCTCGCGACTCTCGTTTCTGAGTTGTCCTGGATTAGGCGTTTCGCGTGAGACATCCTTCAAACTCTGAGTTCCCAGATGCTGCGCAAGAGGTGGTCCAGCCCGTTTCGCCTGAGACATCCTCCAAACTCTGAGCTCCCAGATGCCGCGCGAGAGGTGGTCCGGCCCGTATCGCCTGAGACATCCGTCAAATTCTGAGCTCTGAGATGCCGTGCGCGAGGTGGTCCGGCGCGTTTCGCGTAAGACATCCTTGCAACTCTGAGCTCCCAGATGCTGCGCAAGAGGTGGTCCAGCCCAGATCGCCTGAGACATCCTCGAAACTCTGGGCTCCGAGATGTCGCGCAAGAGGTGGTCCCGCCCGTTTCGCCTGAGACATCCTCCAAATTCTGAGCCCTGATATGCCGTGCTCGAGGTGGTCTGGGCCGTTTTGCCTGAGACATCCTCGCAACTCTGAGGTCCCAGATGCCGCGCGTGAGGTGGTCTGGCCCGTTTCGCCTGAGACATTCTCCAAACTCTGAGCCCCGAGATGCCGCCCAAGAGGTGGTCCGGCCCGTTTCACTTGAGACATCCTCGCTCTTTTGCATTCCGAGATGCCGCGCGAGAGGTGGTCCGGCCCGTCTCGTTTGAGACGTCCTCGAAACTCTGAGCTCCCAGATGCTGCGCGAGAGGTGGTCTGGCCCGTTTCGCTTGAGACATCCTCCAAATTCTGAGCTCTGAGCTGCCGCGCAAGAGGTGGTCCAGCCCATTTCGCCTGAGACACCTCGCGACTCTGACCTCGAAGATGCCGCGCGCGACGTGGTCCAGCCCGTTTCGCTTGAGACATCCTCGCAACTCTGAGCTCTGAGACGCCCTGCGCGAGGTGGTCCGGCCCATCTCGCCTGAGACAACATTGCAACTCTGAGCTCTGAGATGGCGTGCGCAAGGTGGTCCAGCCCGTTTCGCACAAGACATTCTCGCAATTCTGAGCTCCCAGATGCCGCGCAAGAGGTGGTCCAGCCTGGGGGCCCAGAAGACCACATGTTACATATCCCCCTTGGGACCCTGGGAGCCCCAGGAGGCCCCAGAGAGCTTGAGGAGGCCGCAGGACGCCCAGGACAGGCCCCAGGGGTCCCCAGGAGAATCCCAGGAGATTCCCAGGAGGCTCCCAGGAGGCCCCAGGAGGCCCCCTATCAGAACGTGTCAGGTTGATACACATCCAGTGTCGATTCGTTGACTTTTCCTTCTCTTGTGGCACCCCCCTCATTTGGGGCGGCCCAGACGGCCACATGTTAGATATCCTCCCCTGGGAGCCCCAAGAGGCTTCAGGTCAACTCGGGGGTCCGAGATACCGCGCGCGAGGTGGTCCAGCCCGTTACGCTGGAGACATCTTCGCAACTCTGGGCTCCGAGATGCCGTTCGGGATGAAGAGGTGGAGGAGGAGGCGGAGGAGGAGAAGGAGGAGGAGGAGATGGAAGGGAGAAGGAGGAGGATGATGTGGATGAGGGAGCAGGCAGGAAGAGGGGGAGGAGGAGGAGGAGGAGGAGGAGGAGGGAGAAGGAAGGGAGTTGGAGGAGAGGACCCAACGGGAAGCGAGTGTGACGTGGACTTGTCAGAACGTGTGCGAGAGGTTGTCCGGCCCGTCTCGTTTGAGACATCCTTCCAATACTGAGCTCCAAGATGTCGCTCGCGAGGTGGTCCGGCCCGTTTCGCTTGAGCCATCCTCACAATGCGAAGCTCGAAGATGTTGCGCGCGAGATGGTCTGGCCCGTTCTGCCTGAGACATTTCGTAGCACAGGGGCTCCAATCACAACCTCTCTCATTCCTTCTCCCGCCTCCCTCATCCCGCTTCCCGACTGGCTCCTCTTCCCTCCTCCCTCCTCCCGCCTCCCGCCTCCCGCTGCTGCGCCTTTGCCTCCGCCTCCCCGTCCCCGTCGTCGTCGTTTCTGCCGCTTCAGCACCCGTCATGCGCCCCCTGCCTTCCGGCCTCCCCCGACATCCGACGTCACGATTTTTCTTTTGAGCCGGGGACCCGCGGAACCATCACGACATGCCCCCCCGCTTCCGCGCCCTCCCCCGCTTTCTCTTACAGTTGCTTCCGTTCACAGCATGGGGGTGGAGCCTCTGACAGCGCCGATCCGACAGCTTGCTCGTCGACCAGGCGCGAGAGAGTACGACACCCTCTAGCGTTAGCTTCCTGATAGGCATGCGTTACAACAGTTTTCGTGTAAACATCTCATGTGCACACATCCTGTTACCATGTTCTAACATGCCATTCCAGCCCGCAATGGACGGGCACGCGATCGACCTTGGAAACAGCAGTGGGTTTGAAAACCCTGATTGGGGATAGTGCACTCCGGCTATAATTTTCCCAACCCTCCTGTGTAGGGTTCTCGTTTTGAATAGAGCAGTGTGGTCTCCACCCTCCTTCTCCCGCCTCGCTCCTGCCTTCTATGTTTTCCTTCCGTCTGGTTCCTGATTCCTGCCTCGCCGTCTTGTCTTTTGGGTGGCCTTGCCTAGGGGTTGCGATCACTGGGGGGGGGCTGCGATGTGCGCAACTGTCGCCACGTTCGTGGGCTCCTGGAAGGCCCAACGGGGGCACGCCATACGCGGACCACCTGGGGAACTCGCCGCCCCCTGGGGGGCTCGCGATCTGCGCAACTGTCGCCACTTTCGTGGGATCCTGGGAGGCCCAGCGGAGGTACGCCATACGCGGACCACCTCGGGACCTCGCCGCTCCCTGAGGGGGCTCGCGATCTGCGCAACTGTCGCCACTTTCGTGGGCTCCTGGAAGGCCCAGCGGAGGTACGCCATACGCGGACCACCTGGGGACCTCGCCGCCCCCTGGGGGGCTCGCGATCTGCGCAACTGTCGCCACGTTCGTGGGCTCCTGAGAGGCCCAGCGGAGGTACGTCATAGACTGACCACCTGGGGACCTCGCCGCCCCCTGGGGTGCTTGCGATTTGCGCAACTGTCGCCACTTTCGTAGGCTCCTGGGAGGCCCAGCGGAGGTACGCCATACGCGGACCACCTGGGGACCTCGCCGCCCCCTGGGGTGCTTGCGATCTGCGCAGCTCTCGCCACTTTCGTGGGCTCCTGGGATGCCCAGCGGAGGTACGCCATACGCGGACCACCTCGGGACCTCGCCGCCCCCTGGGGTGCATGCGATCTGCGCAACTGTCGCCACGCTCGTGGGTTCCTGGGAGGCCCAGCGGAGGTACGTCATACGCGGACCACCTCGGGACCTCGCCGCTTTGGGGGGGCCTGCGATCTGTGCAACTGTCGCCACGTTCGTGGGCTCCTGGGAGGCCCAACGGGGGTACGCCATACGCGGGCCACCTGGGGACCTCGCCACCCACTGGAGGGTTCGCGATCTGCGCAATTGTCGCCACTTTCATGTGCTCCTGGGATGCCCAGCGGAGGTACGCCATACGCGGACCACCTGAGGACCTCGCCGCCCATTGGGGGGCTTGCGATCTGCGCAACCGTCGCCACTTTCGTGGGCTCTTGGGAGGCCCAGCAGAGGTACGCCATACGCGGACCACCTGGGGACCTTGCCGCCCCCTGGGGGGCTCGCGATCTGCGCAACTGTCGCCACTGTCGTGGGCTCCTGGGAGGCCCAGCGGAGGTACGTCATACGCGGACCACCTGGGGACCTCGCCGTTTTTTGGGTGCCTGCGATCTGCGCAACTGTCGCCACTGGGCTCCTGGGAGGCCCAGCGGGGGTACGTCATACGCGGAAAACCACGGGACCTCGCCGCCCCCACGGGGGTTCGCGATCTGCGCAACTGTCGCCACTTCCGTGGGCTCCCGGGAGGCCCAGCGGAGGTACGTCATACGCGGACCACCTCGGGACCTCGCCGCCCTCTGAGGGGCTCGCGATCTGCGCAACACGCGGACCACCTCGGGACCTCGCCGCCCCCCAAAGGGCGCCGCTCTGCTAGCTCTCGCTGCCGCGCCCTGTTGTCTCCACTTTTGGGTGTTTCTCTTTGTTTTCGTTGCCGCGCCCTGTTGTCTCCACTTTTGGGTGACTCTGGACACCCTCGCTGCCGCGCCCTTTTGTCCAGACTTTTCGGGGCCTTATCATTGCTTTCGCTGCCGCGCCTTTTTCCTTCCACTTTTGGGCGCTTCCGTTTCCTCTCGCTGCCGACCCTTTCTGTCTTCACTTTTGGATGCTTCTCTTTGTTTTCGCTGCCGCGCCCTTTTGTCTCCACTTTTGGGTGAGCCTGGACACTTTGGCTGCCGCGCCCTTTTGACTCCACTGTTGGGTGCTTTAGGTTAGTGCCGGTGCCGTGCCCTTTTTGTTTCCACTTCTCGGGGAGGTCTCATCGCGTTCGCTGCCCCGCTCGTTTGTAACCACTTTGGGCTGCTTTTTCTACCGCGCCCTCCTGCGTCCACTTCTGCGTGCTCCGGCTTATTCTTGTGACCGCGACCTTTTGATTCCACTTGTGGGTGCTTCTCCTTGGGTTCGCTGCCGCGCCCTTCTGTCTCCACTTCTGGATGAGTCGCCACCACCGTTATGCACCTCATGCATTTGCCCCGCTCAGCGCAGCGCGTTGCTGAGTTAGCGTGATGTTCTGTTTTACCCCTCGCCGCGCGCCCTTTTGTATTGATATTTTGATCTTTTGGGCGCGTTTCTTTCAACGCCCCTGTGCTTCCATTTTGTATATTTTCTGTTCCTCTTCTTGCTGCGCTCTTCTGAAATCACTGCTTGGTGTTCTTCTTGCACACTGCGGGTCCTTCAGAATGCCAGTCAGCATTGAGTGGTCCTGAGTACAATCGCCACATGTACAGAAAAGGGTTGGGTACGTCACAGGGTAATTTGTCTTGGCAGGCTTCGGCCTCTGGGGGCCCTCAACGGACCCCAGGATCGTCAAGAAGCGATTCAGGATGAGCAGCTGGCCCTGGGGAAGTTGTCCACCCCTCCAGGGGTCCACGCATCGACAAAGTTGGAGCCCCGGATGTCGGGGAAGGCACCGAGACAGCTGCCCTCGCTTCGTTTCCGCCCGTTGGGGCCTCCTGGGAGGCCCTCGGTCCCACCGCTGGACTCCCCCCCCAGATTTCGGCCAGGGCACACCCCACGAGAGGTCTGTGAGAGCAGCGGTATCGGTATCTGTGCTGCTTTCCCCAGGACGTGACCCTGGACGTCGTGCTCGGGAGGTCGCTGGGCGTGTTCGGCGCGGTGGCCTCCGGCATGCGGGGGGGGGGAGAAGTTGCCGGCACCGCTGCCCTTCCCTCGCCGCCACGGCCAGATGCGCCTCGACAGGCCTGTCGGAGCGTGGCCCGTGATAGGCCCTAGAGGGAGCCTCGAGGTCCGACGCTGCGAAGCAGACGCAACCTCGCGGAACGTGTGGTCGTGTTTCTTCTATTCGTTGCTCTGCCAATCGGCGCGGGCCCTCGCACCCCCCCATCCCCCCCCCCCCATGGAGTAGATCTTGGCTGTTCCCCCTCCCCCCCCCCCCAAGGAGTAGATCTTGGCTGTTTCTGGCGCCTGTTTCGAGCGGGTGGAGCCTCCTCTCAGAATGCACGCCCTGCTCCAAACAGCCGCACTCAGCAGAGCTCCGGAGCCAGATCTCCCCTCCCCCCCTCTTCCGCCCGATGCCGAAGCGCCGAGTGAGAGCCCCCCCTCGCTGAGTGTCGAAATCCCTGGCAGAACGCGATCCAGGATGAGCCCATAGGGAGCCTCGAGGTCAGACGTTGCGAAACAGGCGCGGCATCGCGGGAAGTCGCGAGCGGAGCCCCCCTTGCCGCCCCGTGCTTCGCCTGCACGCTTCGAGCGCCATCGACCCGTCGTGAGAGGGCCCCGGGGCCCGAGCCTGGGCGAGCACGCGCCCGGCGTGGAAAAAACGGGGTGCAGCTGCTTGCGAGGGAGCAGCGGTGCCCCCGCGTGCTGAAAGTGCTGCAGGGACCCAACGCATGGGCAGAATCAGGGCGGTGTCTTTTCGCAGTTCTCAGCTTCCCCGGGGCCCCCGCCGGGCCCCGGGACCGTCAGGGAACGACTCGGGACGAAAAACGGGTCCCGGGAATGGGTCGAGATTTCTGGGGACCCCGTATGGAAAAAACCACGACGTCGGATCTCTGGGCAGCAGGTGTCTTTGGATGCCCAGGTCCCAATCTCTTGGAGGTGCCTTCCTACTTCTAAGTTTTGAGTGGTGCACCCTCTTTTCCTCCTCTTCAGGGGGCGGGCGGAGGCGCCTTCCTACTTCTAAGTGTCGAGTGGTGCTCCCTCTTTTCCTCCTCTTCAGGGGGCGGGCGGAGGCGCCTTCCTACTTCTAAGAGTCGAGTGGTGTTCCCTCTTTTCCTGTTCTCCAGGGGGCGGGCGGAGGCGCCTTCTTGCTCTAAGAGTCGAGTGGTGCTCCCTCTTTTCCTCCTCTTCAGGGGGAGGGCGGAGGCGCCTTCTTGCTCTAAGAGTCGAGTGCTGCTCCCTCTTCTCCTCCTCTTCAGAGGGCGGGCGGAGGCCCAATCTACTTTCAACTCCCTCCTACTGCATGTTTCTACGTACCCGCTTCTTCCGACCAACGGGTTATCGTCACCACGGGCTGTCCCCAGGCAAGAGCACCCTGCTGGTCGCGCTGCTGGGCGGCATGCAGCCCCTGCGCGGGTCGGTGCGGCGCTGCGGGCTGCCCGCGGCGTACGTGCCGCAGCACCCGGTGGTCTTCAGCGGCTCCATCCTCGCCAACATCGTCATGGGCCGGGCGTACGACGAGCAGGCGCTGCTGGCGGCCCTGACGGCCGCGCGGTTCGTGCGCGACCTCGAGCTGCTGCCCTTCGGCATCATGACCGAGATCGGGGAGCGGGGCACGACGCTGTCCGGTGGGCAGCAGGCGCGCCTGAACGTGGCGAGGGCCTTCTACCACCAGCCGAGCGTGCTGGTCGCCGACGACCCGCTGGCGGCGGTCGACGTGCACGTGGCCGGCGAGATGTTCGAGGCCATGCAGCAGTGGCGGAGGGCGTCGGGGAAGCGCGCCCTGGTGCTGGCCACCAACCAGCTCGGGGAAGAAACCATGGCACAACACACGAACTTCGGGAGGCCCGCGCGGACTCCTCGGATCGGCGCTGGGTCCCCCCCGGCGTCGCCGCAGGCGCCGCCCTTGGCGCGCTCCGCGCACCAGGGCGTGGATCATTCCGGCGCCGATCCAGGCAATTCGGGCGGAGAGCTCCAGAAGTTCGTGCGCGTACCGTTGTTTGTTCCTCTTCCAGCTGCACCTGCTGCCGAGCCTCGACCACCTCGCCTACCTCGAGGACGGGCGCGTGTGCGCGCAGGGCTCCTACCAGGCCAGGGCCCACCTCGCTCCGATCGATACGGTTCGCTATGGGCTCCGGCCGGCCCGATCCGATTCGATTCCGATTTCCGGGCGACCCGAATGCGGCGCGAAATTTTGCGTGGCGGTGCTGTGCATCCTGGCGCAGCCGAGTCGATTCGATTCCGACTCCGTGCTGGTGCGGCCCGATTCGATGCACATTCTCGCGCGGGGCTAGGATTACGTCGGGCGTGTCCCTCTACAGGGGGAATATTCAAAAATAGTTCAACAAGATAGAACGGGGACGATGTTTTGACGATTTGCGCTTATTCATTTCATATTTGTTGGGTATTTTTTTCTCTCAGAATCCGCCTGTAGGGGGACATGCCCGACCTCAGGCTAGGATGAGGATACATCCGTTCCAGCGCGTTCCACAGGACGCTCTCAGGGCGCTCCAGAATGCTCTGAGAAGGCCGCGGTGCCCGATGCATCCTCCGGAGCCGTCGGATTTCAGATTTTCTCGATCCCCCCCCGAGTTGTTGTCCTCGCCCTGGTTTCGTCTCACGTCCCCCTCTGATCCGCTCTCCCGCTTCGCTCAAGTCGGGCGTGTCCCTCGACAGGAGGAGCATCCAAAAATAGTAAAAATAGTCAGGGGAGGATGTTTTGAGCATGTTTTGACAATGTTTGTGTGCTTTTTGACTATTTGTTTTATTTCTCGCCCAGCATCCCCCTGTAGGAGGACATGCCCGACCTAACGTTAAGTCGGGTCTGTCCCTCTACAGGCGGAATTCCCCCAAAAACAGCCCCCAAAATAGTCTGGGGACGGTTCTTTTCTAATATTTTTGTCCATTCTGGCGTACTTCTTGTGACTAGTTCGGATCCTTCGCCCAGCCTCCCCCCTGCAGGGGGACAGGCCGGACCCAGCGCTCCGCTGCTCCCGCCGGCAGGCCCTCCTCGCCGAGGCGCGCGCGCGCCCGCGCCTCGCGGAGCTCCTGGCCGGCGCGCGCGTGGCGGCGGCGGACGCCGCGGAGGCCGCGAGCCCCGCGGGCGCGGGCGGCCTCGGCCCGGCGACGCCGGCCTTGTGCCGCGGGCCGGCGCGGGAGGTGGCATATGTCCTCCTGCCCGGACCTCCTCGCGCTGTAGAACAAAGTCGGGGGTGGACAGAACCCCCAACAGTGACACGTCGATTAGTGAATCGTCCGGTGTCGGTTCTCGAGAGGGCGCCGTGACTGTTATTTTCCAGGCTTGCGCCCGCCAGGTTTGGGCGTCGGGTCGTTCTCACTAAACCACGTTTTACTAAAGGGGGGTCTGTCCATCCCCGACAAAAAATCGCGACAGGAGGTTTCTCGCCATTTTCGGCCTCTGGGGGCCCCGGGGCCTCGGGACCGTCAAGGAACGACTCAGGACGAGGAACCAGTCCCGGGGAAGGGGTCCAGACCTCTGGGGGTCGACGTCGTGACAAAAATCACGACGTCGGGGGTCTGGGTTCTTACACGCGCAGGGGGGGGGGGGGAGGGAGAGGGCTTCTTAGAGGCACCCCTGCTTCTTAGAAGGCGCGGGCCTTCTTTATAGGGGTGAGGCCAGCGCCTTCTAAGAAGCAGCCTCCTGCTAAGAAGCCCTCCCCCCTCCCTCCACCCCCTTGTAAGCGCCGCCAACTCCTACAGTCGGAGTGTGATCGAAAAAGAAGCAATATCCAAAAAGTATTCAGAAATAGTCAAACATTTTTTTTTTTTAGCGTCCCCAGGCTATTTTGTTGTAGGAGGACACGCCCGACCTAAACGTAAGAGTCAGGTCGGGAATGTCCTCCTACATGTGGATTTCGGGTATAGCCAGGACCCCAGGTGAGGGGACCCGCTTAGTAGTGGGGCCATGGAGCCCCCAAATTTGCCAGAATCACTAAACCAGGTCTGCCGTAGCTGGTGTTTTTTCGGGCGACGCCAGTTCCGGTTAGTGAAGCGGGGCGGGGGGGGCGTCCCCCAGTAGACGTCACTAAACCAGGTCCCACTAAACCCAGGTCTGCCAACGCCCGAGGACTGTGAACGAAACAGTCACAATATTCAAAGCATGTGCAAGAAGAGCCAAGAATACCCCCAAAAGCGTCTCCAGAGTATTTGTTTAACACTGTTTTGGAACATCCCTCCCGTGGAGGGGCATGCCCGACTTGACGTACGAGGGGCGGGCCCTTCGCCGGAGGGACTTTCCCAGACCCCCTTCGGAGCTTAAGAGACGCGGGTCAGTGCAAGCGGGGGTCAGCCAGGGCACCGGACCTTGCAGGATCAGACCCCCTCTGGCCGACCCGGGCGAATGTGAGTCAAGCAGTGGCGAAGAGTCCTGGCTCGCCTGCAGGCCCACCAGAGAATGTTCTAAGAACCTTTTTGGTGGTCTGCACGGAGTGTTCTGAGAAACCCGGAAACATGTCTGGCGAGGCTGTCTCGTGTTGGCACGTCGGGCTTATGTTCTAAGAGAACTGTTTGGGTGATTCGGACATTGTGGGTTCAAAGAAAACGTCGTTGCAGGCCTACAGGAATGCTGGGGCGGTCGATCCCTGCTCAAGTAAGCGGGACCCTTCGCCGGAATGACCTTCCCAGACCCCCTCGCATTGTGGACAAATCACGACCCGAGAGGCTTTTCGCTAGGTTCGGCCTCCGGGGGCCCTTACTGGGCCTCGGGACCCTCAAAGAGCGACTCGGGATGAGAAGCTGGTCCCGGGGAAGGGGTCCAGACCTTTGGGGGTCGACGGGGGTTTGGGCTTGGTGCGGGCCCACCAGGGTTCCCAGATGGATGCGATGCGGTGCGATAGCAGCGCGCTTGGGTTTGGCCTCCCCGCGGGCCCTCCGCCGGAATGGCCTTTGGTGCGGGCCCTCCAGGGTCCCAGATGGATGCGATGCCATGCAATAGCAGCGGCTTGCGCGCTCTGGTTTTGGCCTCCTGCGGGTTGCCAGGGTTGCCAGATGGATGCGATGCGATGCGATAGCAGCGCGCTGGGGCTTGGCCTCCCCGCGGGCCCTTCGCCAGAGTGGCCCTTGGTCCGGGACCACCAGGGTTCCCAGATGGATCCATGCGATGCGATGGCCACCTCTTGTCCCCTCGGGATTGGCCTTCCCGCGGGCCATTCGCTGGAGCGGCCTTTGGTGCGGGCCCGCCAGGGTTGCCAGATGGCTGAATGCAATGCGATAGCAGCGGCTTTGGCACTCGAGTTTGAGCTCCCCGCGGGCCCTTCGCCAGAGTGACCTTTGGTGCTGAACGCGATGCGGTAGCAGTGGCTTGCGCGCTCTGGTTTGGCTGTCCCGTGGACCCTTCGCCAGAGTGACCTTTGGCGCGGGCCCGCTATGGTCCACAGATGGCTGAATGCGATGCGATAGCGGCGGCTTTCGCGCTGGGGTTTGGCCTCCCCGCGCCCCCAGAAAGCCCCGCACCATTGGTCATCCTTCCCCAGGGTCACTCTCTTGCGTGTAGCCGAGGTGACGGGGGCCTCGCTGCTATCCCGGAAGAAGACGGACACGTCGCTGGTGCAGGCTCGGGGGTTGCGAACGGTGGTGTCCCTGGCCCCAGACCTCCCCCGCGAGTGATGGGAGCATCACGACGGGAGGGTTTTTCGCTGTCTTCGGCCTGTGGGGGGGGGCCCTCGCGAGGCTCCGGGACCGAACACGGCGACTCGGGATGAGAAGCCAGTCCTGGGGAAGGGGTCGCGAGGTTTCCGGGGACCACGTGCAGGAAAAAAGCAGACCTGTCCCCAGCTTGTCGCTCCGTCTTGCAGCCCCTGGGGTCCTCTGGGCCTCGCGGGGGACGCCCTGGAGGCCGCGGATGCCTCCTTGTTCGGGCTCTGCGTAGGAAGGGGCGATAAACTTGTGTGGAACAGAAAGGCGCACCTTCTGTGCCCGAAAGGAGAGCACGGGCCCCTTGGACCCAAAAAGAAGTACGAAAGGCGCACGTTTCCTCGCCTTCCCGTTCCCAGACCCCCGGCGTCACGACTTTTTCACAACGTCGACGCCCAGAGGTCTCGATCCATACCTCGGGACCCGTTACTCATCCCGAGCCGTTTCTGTTGGGCGGTCCTGAGGCCCGGAGAGGGCCCCCCTGAGGCCGAAAACGGTGGACAAAGTCTGCCGCCGTGGTCTTTTCGTGACTCGCGAGGGGGTCTGGGTTCAGCAGCGCCCGGCTGCCCGTCCCGGGGGCACCTCGAGCCGGGATCTGCACGAACGAAATGGGTACGGAAAGAATGGGTACAATGCCCAACAGCAGTTCCTGTTCATTTTGAGCAGGGCTCGCTCTTCGCGCCGCCCCGGACGCTGTTCCTTGAAGACAGAGAGCCGCCTGCCCAACCGCGGCCGCTGTCGGTTTGGGACAACATTTGTTGTTGGGCATTGTACCCATCTTTTCCGTACCCCTTTCGGGCGTTCAGACAGGAGCACCCCCCCGTCGCTGGTTTGATATCGCTGGCCTTGCTTTGCCTCCTCGTCCTCCTCCCCGCTGCTGGTGTGCTCTTCTCCCCCCTTCCTCGCCCCCCCCTCTTCCCGAGTCCGGGGCTATTACAGGTTTTTGCGTTCATCTCTGCACTGCGGCCGGCTCTCGTCGCGCGCTCATTCCCCTCAGCTTTCCTCGTTCTCCTCCCCCCCGCGCCGCGCCCGGCAGGCGGAGCACCGGGCGCAGGGGGCCTACGCCGCCAACGTCGCGCTGGAGTACGCGAGGGCGGTCGGCCCGCGCTGGCTCGCGGCCTACGCGGCGAGCGCCACTGCGGCGTACGTGCTCACGTCGGGGAGCAGATAGCACGGCGGGGTGAGCGTTTTTTTTTGTTCGGCGGTTCGACGTGGGGCGGAAGTCCAGGCCTGAGTCGGGCCTGTCCCTCTGCAGGGGGAATCTTCAAACATAGTCCAAAAATAGTCTGGGGACTATTTTCTGAGTGCTTTGGGGCATCTTTTGAGTATTTTTTATTATTTTGTTTTTTTAAGTATTTTTCATTTTTCGTCCAAAATCCCTCTGTAGGGGGGCAGGCCCCGACCTAAGTCTAGGCCTCCTAGATGGGGTCGGCGTAGACGGGGTCGGAGGATCGCGCCGCATCGCTGATGCATCGCCGATGCGGCTCGATGTGCAGCTCGATTTGCTTCACGTCGACGTCGCCGATGCATCACCGACGTCGATGATGCATCGCCTGTGCATCGCCGATGCATCGCCGATGCATCGCCGATGTATCGCCGGTGTATCGGTGATGCGGCGCGATCCTCCGACCCCATCTACTCCGACCCCATCGAGGAGGCCTCTATAGGAGGGGGGGGAGAGGGGGGGTCTGGATCCGGACCTCTGCTTACTGCGACTGTTTGGAGCAGTGCGTCCTATAAGGGGAGGCTCCACCTCGAAACTGGCGCCCCAAATAGCCAAGATCTACTCCACTGAGGGGGGGAGGGGGGGGTGTACAAAACTACTACACGAACATGTCGGCGCGCCCGTTGTTCCGACGCGCAGCCCTGCTTCTTCGGGAGGTCGCCTCGGCCGCCAGGACAGCCTTCGCTCGGGACGCAAGGCTCGCCATGGGCATTGCCGCGGGCCCGTGTCGGCTACATTCAGGAGAGGAAGAAACACACAGACACAATTCATCGTCGATCCCCAGGAAAACATGGGAACAGATGGGAAGTGGGGGGGAAGACAAAAACCCCGAACATATGGGGAAATACGGGGAATCCTTTTTTATTTGTGTGTGCATTTATTTGTGTGTCTCAGGGCCCCTTCATACATGTGCGCGCCGAGAGCAAGCGGCGCGGCGACGCACGTGGACCGTCGGAGGTCCGCACGGAGTTCTCGGGTCGGCACTGGGCCCCCCCGGGGCGGCGCCGCCTCCTTCTCTCTTCCCCCGCCGCTGCCTCCTCCTCCGCCGTCCCTGGCACGCTCCGCCCGCCAGGGGCCGCGGAGGGACGAACAGCGCAAGCACACACATAGATATAGATAGATAGATAGATAGATATATATCTATATATATATATAGATAGATATATAGATAGATAGATATACATATATATAGATATATATATATATATATATATATAGTTAGATATATAGATAGATATACACGTATGGATATATATATAGTTATATATAGATATATAGATATATAGACATATATATATATGTATGTGTAGAAAATAGGTGTATATATATAGATGGGTATATTCATATATCGATTTATAGTTAGACCGTTATATATATATGTATATATACATATATATATATAGAGATGTAGATATATATATACATATAGGTCGATACATATATATATATATATACATACATATTTACGTATATATATATATAGATAGATAGATCGATACACACATATATATATATGCAGGTAGGTAGGTAAGTAGGTAGGTAGGTAGGTAGGTAGGTAGGTAGGTATTTATATATACAGATAGATAGATATATAGATAGATAGATAGATAGATATATAGATAGATAGATAGATATATATAGATATATAGATGGATATACAGATATATAGACATATCGGTATATATAGGTATAGATATATAGATAGATAGATCGATAGATATATATATATGTAGCTATATAGATATATGTGTATATACATATATATGTATAGTAATCACATTACAAAGCAATCTGTTCCGCCGTCGGGAACGCCTGCCCCAGGGCGGCTGGAGGGCTCATACCCTTGCGGTGGCACGTCGGGGTACAAACTGTCCAGCCGCCCGGGGGCAGCCGTCCCCGACGGCCGACGTCCGCTGAACGAGCTTTCGGAGGTCCGCGCGGATTTCTCGGCGCGGCACTGGAGCCCCCTGGCGGCGCTCCTGGCGCCGCCAGCTGGCGCGCTCCACGCGCTGGGGTGGGGATGGGGGTGGTCCAGCGCCGATCTAAGAAATCAGCGCGGGCCTCTGAAGCTTCTAAGCTCATGCCATCATTTGCTCCTCGGTCATGGGCGCCATGGACTGGCAGCTGACCTTCTGGGTCCGGGGCCCCGTGGAGGTCGAGGGGGGCCTGCTGTACAGCGTGCTCGCGCTGGCCCACGCCCTCTTCATGACGCTCACGAACGTCTGCAGCGGCTACGCGGGCGCGCACGCCTCCCGGAACCTCCACAGCCAGTGCCTGCAGCGCATCCTGGGGGCGCCCGTGCGCTGGTTTGACGAGACGCCCTCGGGGAGGACGCTGAGCCGCATGTCGGCGGACATCGCCATGGTCGACCTCAAGATGCCCCTCTATCTGGACCACCTGTGCCAGATGGTGTTCGTCATCCTGGTCAACATGGTCACGATCTGCATCATCGTGCCGTGGATGTCCATCATCATCCTGATCGTCATACCCGTTTTTGTCAAGATCGACTTCGTGGTGAACGTTGCCTCGCGCGACGTGAAGCGCATCACCAACAACGCCATGAGCCCCATACTGACCCTGCTCCAGGAGGCGGCCAGCGCGCGCCTGCTTCTGCGGGTCATGGGCCAGGAGGAGTGGCTCCACGACGAACTGCTGGGCTACGTTGACCAGTATCTGGCGGCCTTCGGCCCATCCCGCCACCGCTTCCTGGCTGTAGGCCAGATGCCTGTTGGGTACCTGTTGGGATCTCTTGGGAGGCCTCTCCGAAGCCTTGGGGCGGAGGGCGCCATGAGATTGGCTTGAAGCATGCTGTCTGAGGCCCATTAGCGGAGTGGCGCTCCGCTAGTGGGAGCGGCGCAAGCTAGTGCGCATGGCTTGAGGCCAAGCGGAGCGGACCTCCGCGAAAACGAGCAAGACGATGTGCGAATCTGTTGGCCGTGGGCTCTTTGACGAGACTTCGTTACTCCGCACAGAGAACTCGAAGGGGCCCGCAGTATTCCAGCTCGTGCCTCGTGGCACGGTGGCGGACAACGTCGCCCACTACAGCAGCCAGAGCCTCATGACGTTCCTCCGCCTCGTCGGGAACCTGGTTGGGGTGCTGGTGAGCTTTAGCACCGCTCTGCTCTTCTGGGCGCTCGGGGACACCGTCGGCGGCGGCGAAGGGAAGGCCGCGGTGCTGGCGCTCGCGCTCACGTCCTCCTTCGTGATCCCGTACTTCCTGGCCTTTGCCTCCTTCTTCTCGGAGGGGAAAACAGCGGCATGAGCATGAACTTTCGGAGCTCTCCGCGCGGATCTCTTGGATCGGCTCCGGACTCCTGCCTCGCCAGGGTAGGGGGCAGCGCCGTCGCGAAAAGTCACGACCAGAACCCTAGACCACATCTTTCTGCGGCATTCTGTCGAGCCGGATTGATATGTGATGGTCCCAGGGCCCGAAGACGGGCGAAGACGCCCCAGTGTGAGAAGCTTGCAACGCCCAGATCTCGGGGTCCGAAAGTTGGATGTTCGTGCAGCGGATATTTCTCCTTCGATCGTCGCCTCGCTCGTGCGCGTGTTCATGGCCAGCCTCGAGCGTCTGCTCGAGCTGAAGTCCGAGCTCGTGCCCCAGGAGGCTCCGCGGCGCGGCGACGCAGACCCCGCGCCGGGCG